AGTATAAACTGTGTTCTAATGCCTCGGTAGGAAGTAAGCCACGGGACACACAATCAGCTGGATTTTGCATTGATGGTACGTATCGCCACTGAACCGAGGGCAGAAGTTCACTTATCTTGTTAAGCCTGTTCGTGACAAATACTTTGAATGTAACTTGCTGAGTTGTTAGCCAAGATAACACCACTGTAGAGTCGGTCCATGCATGGATCGAGGATATGTGAGTGATTGACGATAATGCATTTTGTACACGATGCAGTGTTTGAGCTAATAGCAGTGCCCCACATAATTCCAACCTTGGAATGGAAAGTGACTCGTCCAGACGACTGTTCTTTAACGGTGCTACCCTCGACCTTGCTGTAAGTAGATGTACTGTGCCAGGTTTTGACGCATACGACAATCGCATGTAAACAACAGCTGAGTATCCCCTTTGTGATGCATCGGAAAAACCTAGCAGTTGAACGTCAGTACACTGTTCAATAGGAATATGTCTCTTGATTTTAACTTGTGAGACCGAAGGTAACTGCGTAGAGAATGAATTCCAGGAACAAGCTAGTTCGTCGGGGATCGGTTGGTCCCATTCATAAGCATTTTTCCATAAAATCTGCATGAAGCACTTAGCCCAAAAGGTAATGGGTGATAAGGCTCCGAGTGGGTCATAGATCTTAGCTATTGCGGATAGCACTAAACGTTTCGTAGGTCGAGAGACGCAAGGATCACTATGGTAACTGAATATATCATTTGCCGGGTCCCAATGTAACCCCAGAATCTTTATTGAACAATCATCCTTTGGGTCGAATGACAATTCCACAACTTGATCGTCCTTTGAGATATTTTGCAGAACTTGTGGACAGTTACTTGCCCACTTCTTTAGCTCAAATTTACCTTGACCTAGCAAACCGATGAGCTGTTTCTGCAACGTCACCATCTTTTCGACTGAGGCAGCTCCGGCTATAATGTCATCGACGTAAGTTTGACTAGATAACACTCCTTGTGCAGCTGGGTAGTTGGAACCTTCGTCCAGTTCCAGTTGATGCAATACACGGATGGCTTGAAAGGTAGACGAAGACACGCCGTAAGTAACTGTCGACAATGCATATTCCTGTATTGATTCAGATGGATCGTTGCGCCACAAAATATGCTGGTAAGAGCATTCCGCTGGTGACACCTGTATTTGTCTATACATTTTGCATATATCTGCTGTGAGCATATAAACATGAAATCGACATCGTAGTAATAGATCTGCTATGTCACATTGCAATTTGGGTCCGATAAATAACAAATTGTTTAATGATGTTCCAGAGGATGTAGTGGCAGACGCGTCAAATACGACTCTTAGTTTAATTTTCCCGTTCGTTCGTTTGACTACTGCGTGATGTGGAATGATGTAGTTTCCTGGAGTTTGCGCGAGTTTCATGTGGCCAAGTTGTAAATACTCGTTCATAAAACATTTATATTCCTCGTATATGATAGGATCGGCTGTTAATTTACGCTCCAAGTTATAAAATCTTGATAGTGCCATTGACCGGGAATCACCAAGAACGGAAGGGTTGATTTTAAACGGAAACGACACTGAGTACCTCCCAGACGGGTCTCTGGTGGTGGTACGGCGGAAAATCTCTTCGCACTTCTGTTCTTCTGTAAACGGATTAGGTAAAACCACAGGCTCCTCAACTTCCCAAAACCGGTTCAGCAATTGTTTAAGTGACGGTTCGGTTGTCAATGACAGTGATACTTGCGATGACAAAGTTCTTGAGGCTGCCGCGGCTCCAACAATAATCCAGCCCAGTGTTGTCTCGAACGCGGAAGGCAATCCTGGTATATGACGTACATGATAACCGTCTGTGAAAATGTGGTTGTACACGTCAGCGCCTAGTAAGAATTCAATTTGCCCTGGACGATCGAAATTCGGATCTGCGAGCTCCAGATCCATGTAATGAGTTCGTATAGATAAATCTAACACTTTCGAAGGCATCAGCCCAGTAATCTTTGACAATAGAACGGGTTCACAAGTTAGCTGTCGATCTAACCGCATGTGTGGTACTATGCTGCACAAGACTACACCTTTTGCCTGGACTACGGGGCTCTGTGACAATCCGACTACGTTGATTGTACGATTGCAGCGAGTGAGACCAAGTCGTGTTGCGCACTTTGTTGTTATGGCAGATATTTGTGATCCACAATCTATTAATGCACGGACTGGTACCCACTGTCCCTGTTGGTTGCACATCCGAATAACAGCTGTGCCCAGAACACTCAAATTGCCGCTGCTAACGGTACCAACAAATGACGTGTCATCGGTGCTTGGTAGATTACCAACGGGGGCTGCCGACGACGATGAAACCGCGGGTGCATTGTTATTTGACTTAGTGCCAGCCTGGCGCTTTCGCGATTCGAAGTGCAGTAACGAATGATGTTTTCCGGAACAGGTTCGACACGAATACTTCGACGTACATGTGGAAACCGTATGGGAACCACTGAGACAATTTGAACACATGTTCTTGGACCTTACCAGCTGAAATCGTGATGATGTGGTTAGTCCCTTAAACTTCTCACATTTGTATATATAGTGTGTCCCTTGGCACGCATAGCAGTAAGGCTCGTGATCCTTGGTTGCGGCCAATAACGATGATCTTGAAGTTACAGGTTTTTGGCGCGTGAAAGCTGCAGGTTTTCTTTCGGCGTCTGACATCGAACTATTTTGTAGAATTTTGCACCGAGATTGTATAAATATTAATAAATCATTTAGAGTGGGAAGATCATGTGTGCCCCGATCAGCCTCGAAGAGACGCTTCGTCGAACTATCCAGGACGCGCGACGCTATATAGAATAGTAGGAAACCGGACAGATCATGCACACCTAGAGCGTTGATCGCTGCTGTGTTCTCTTTAAATACATCTAAAAAGTTATTTAGGTCAGTTAGTGATTCATTTTTTATGAGAGAAAATCCGAATAATTTGTCCAAGTGCGCGTGAAGTATAAGACGTGTACTGTCAAAACGATCATGCAATGCATTCCAGGCAACTTCATAATTGGGACCAGTAAGAGGAACTGAACGTACCACCGTACTCGCAGCTCCAGAGACTGAAGCAATTAAATAGTGAAATCGCTCAACACTGTTAAGATCTGGATTGTCGTGGACAAGCGATGTGAATGTGTCACGATAAGACCGCCAGTTAATTATGTCACCATTAAAGTGCGGTAACTCAATTTTTGGTAAATTAATGTGAGAGCCTGATCTAATTACCGTATCCATTTTACAACAGGCCATCGCTCCCGCCACGGCTTGTATAGAATAGTATTGTTCGGTGACAACAGTTTCAATGACACTATGGTCCCGTATGAACTCGTCAATCCGCCCTAGCTCTACCATTTGATCCATAACGTCCTCCTGGTCGAGGCGAAAAGCTGACATGAGTGTTTCCAAATCCCGTTTACGCGCATCGAACATAGGTAAAGATGACGGATCAGACTCAACTGTCTTCGATAATTTGAACAATATTAACATCTGATTAACATGCTTATCTCGTTTAACAATAGCGCGCTGTAAGGATCGCTCAACACGTTCCTGTTCTTGTTGTTCTGTTGGCGCCATCGCGAATTATTAATACCGTGTAATAAAAAAAAATGACAACGTTATTATGACGTATCTAGATGGCCAACACGCACGCTACCATACTACAATATAATAAATAGACTTGAGACAGCTATGAGAACCAAGATGATGACTAAAATTCACTTGTTTTATCGAATGGTTAAGTAAATTAAAGTGGACTGTATTTTCGATATCCGGTCTCGAATGGACCAAATGTTGCGGCTGGTACGCCCGACAAAGTATTGCTCAAGGAGATTACCAACAGTATAGGACTAAAATATGGATGATAAATAACAAGCGAATAATATGACAAATAATTGAATAATATTGAAAATAATTGAAAATAATACATACGAGG